GAAAACAGCTTTCCTATAGACGGCGAAACATTCTTTATTGCTACTCATCCCGTAGGAATACTTGTAGAGGTGGTGATCAGTTGATAAGCGATCAGCAGTACTATAGAGAAAAAGAGGTCGAAGGTCAACTCGATCAGTTTCTGCAATGCCAGCCTGCCAACGTGTGACCGCAAACCATTGTTGTAATGGTAAAAAGCCGATGAAGTTTTTCGTGATCGACTTGGTGGACGCGGTCGAGTGCCAAACGACCATACGACTACCTACTATTAAGGTAGTCGTGAAGCCGGCAAAATTTTTTGTGATCATCTTGCGAACGTAGTCATCGTTGTGACTGCACCCTCCCAAAGCAAACTGTCTATCGATCAGATCAGCTTTTCCAGATTTTGGGGTCTCATAATTCAAATTATCGGGCCTTAATTCGCAAAATCAGATGGCAGCCGTTTGAACCACCATGGCAACCAGCCGGGGTCGGTCAATTGGTACCATATCCGCTTGAAAGGATAAGAAGCTTCACATGTGCATATGGTGCTCAGTTCAAGAAACAGGCGGCAAAAAATGAGATCAGGTGATTTCGAATAAAAGTCAAAAGCATGGCAAGAAGATGCCCACAGTTAAAAAAGGGAATCACATTTTCGACATTTAGAGGTTATTCTATAAACAGGATTAAGCGAGGCGAAGATAGTTTTCAATTTCATACTATAACTCATCACTTAATTTCAGATTGGTTTCATGGAATGCAAGGATGGCAAGATTTCGGGCGCTGAAGGAGTCTTATGTCTAGACTCGGGTTTTTTTTTCAGTTATGTATTGTAGTACTTCATTTTTTTCATGAATAGAAATTCGTACAATAGTATAATAGTTTAGAAAGGCAATACCCAATCCTAGCTTCGAGCACCACAACTGGTCCGATTTCCAGCAAACACTTAACTGCCTAGCCACGTACATTTACAACTACAGGCCAGCAAAGCCGGCGCCTTATCCTCCTCTGACTTTAACAATTAACATTAGCGACGTAGTGGAATGCTCACTCAAACCACATTTTCACTAGGTGGAGGGGAGGGTAGGGAGGTGTACTCAGGCTATCGCCCAGGGAAGCCTAGGGCCAGCTGCACTTTGAAAACAGTGATGATGACACTGACGGTGAAGTGATAACAATGATGTATCTTTCCAGCTTAATTACCGAGTTAGTTCGCATCCCCAGATGGATGCATTGGCGCATGAACTCTGGTCTGCGTCAATACTCGAGCTTGTCTACGATTCTACGACCTGCTATTCAGCTTCTCAATAGCTCATCCTGCTCAAGGAGAGAAACCTGAAGCAACACTTCTTGAGGGCGACAAATGTGGTTTTTAAGTGGGTAACGTGTAAATAGCCTTAAACTCAGGGAAAAATAATTTGTAAGCTTGTCATAACCATTCTCAGGTAGATAATAATTATAGTTCACCTTCCGAAATTCATTTTTTTGCCAAATCAGAATTATACCATATTTTGATTATTTCTGCATTGTGATATTTACCATCCTAAACCAACAAAGGAAATACTAAAGCCATTTGAAAAGTCATCAGGTGAAGTAAATAAATGAAGAACGTACATAGCCTCCCAATCTCTGCCGGATCCGTGTAACGTTGCTTGATCCATGCTAATCGACAACCGAATGAATAGACTTGGATTGCGAACGGGAATACATACGCGTGAATGCTCAAAAAAAAAACAAACATAATAAACCAAAAAAATAGCGTCAGGTTCGAAGAATGCTCGACCTTGTTAAGTATATTCTGAATTCTCCACATCCACCACTATCACTTTGCAACAAATTTTCTCCACAGCAGTTTATTCATAATTTAACAAAATTATAAACCTCGCATTGTAAGAAAGTGCATGGCCTCATGGTGGAGTACATTGCAGAATACAAGGCCTTCACAAAAGAAAAATGAAAAAGTCAGGAGACTATTTGATCTCTTTTTCCTAATTAAACATTTATGAAATACTATTAATCAGTGATCCCGCACTGTTCCATACTGTAGTTGTACAGGTCGTCACAAGCTTGATCATTCAAAGCCAAAGGATTCTCGGTAGCCAATTTGCAATCCCTGGAATAAAAGAGTCACATATTGTAGCGCCGATTCTGTTGCAGGAATTATGCCTTGGTGTATAAAATATCTCTTGGTTTGACAACTTTGTAACTGCATACATTTCAGGTAGATACGATCATTCTTTCACAAAAAAAAAGTAATATTAGGTTGAGTAAAAAGTTTTGAGGGCGGAGATGGTGTAGTGGCAAGTGGAGTATTACCTCACGCGCACGGTCACGAGTTCGAATCCTGGATCGCTACATCTAGGCCAACCAATCCTTCCATCCTCGCGGTTCGGTAAATTAGTACCAGACTCGTCTGACTTGTGCATCGGCTTGCCACCGCAAGTTATTGTATAGGCAACATACGCATTCAATACGCCACCATGATTCTGAATGGAAGTCGAGTGCGGGGCGCATCCCTCAGACGGGACCAATTAGCAGCAAAAACTTCCTTATCCTTATCCTTTAAAATGTTTTGATTGACTTCCCCTACCTTTCTATTATAGATCCTTCCGGAAGGCCACCCGGAAGGAATATCTGTACCTGAAGGGGATGCATAAACATGCCCTTGTTAATGTTTCGCAATTATGACTTCAGCCTTCAATGGTCGGCCAAAGCTATCTGAAAGCTATCGTCCACCACGAATTTTTGTAAGGGCATAATCCATCGTTAGCCGCCGTAAATATCTGTGGCGCACTCTGAAGAGACACCGTATCCACCGTATCCTACTTAACCCACGGGTGCCTCGTGACGAACCACCTTCGAGACAGCGAAACAACATCCGAGGAGGGGTTTGCTGCGTTGCTGGTGTATTCTCAAGGAATGCTCTGCTTTGAATTACTTCCTGAGGATTCCACCATGACCACCGAGATTTACGCTTGTCAACTTCAGAGTTTGGCCGACGTTACTCGAAAGAAGCGTCCGCATAGCGGGAATGCTTGCCTTTTTTCTTGACAACGCTCGACCGCATACGGTCTCGTCAGAGAATTACCGAACTTGGATGGGAAAAGCTGCCCCTTCCTCCTTATATGCAAGATCTTGCTCTGTCCGATTCCCATCTGTTTCTTGCGTTCAAACATCAACTTCGCGAAAGAAAGGTTGATGATCGCTCGGAACTCGAAACTGAGATTTCCAGCTTTTTCGAATCGCGACCGTCGCAGTTCTAGGCTTCAGGAATCGGAGAATGCCGGATCGTTGGGAATATGTTGTGGACCGCGATAGAGGCTATACTACTGATTGAGAACTTTTACAATGAAAATAGGAGTTTTTGAAATACAGACGAAAAGTCGACCAAACTTTTTACTGAACCTAATACGTGTTCAGTTACATTTGAACCTCAAAGTACTTAGGTACCCGGATCGTAGTAATTAAATTACTTTGAAAACAAGCCTACTCTTTGAAATAAATGTTTAAAGTGCTCGCAAGAATTCCAGTTGTCAACCTAGTATAATGGTTTTCGAAACTTACGCAAAGTATTTCCCGCTGATACCATCAACTTTCTTGCTGAGAGCTAGATAGAGTGAGGTCTGCGCCCCATCGCGATCCGTTTTCAGGAAGAACCACCTAAACATGGATTTCTGGTCGACGGAAACAGTCCAAAAAACTTTTGTGGAGTGTGAGAAAAGTGAGAGGATCAGCCGAAGAAAGGAACTCCATCTACTAGGTTGAGCGTGTGAAAATGTTTTTGCTCCAGTAAGAATCAACCTATTTAAAATAGACAAAGGACCTGATTGACTGAGATAGATTACAGTTGCTACAATTGCCCTTCAATAGCTACATCACCCATGTGCTGATATTTAGCATTAATAACTACTTACTGTTAGGAAAACACTTTGTGTGTACCTGAGAGGAGCGGTAATTTGACGTAGCGGTGTTTTGAGAAGAGGTGTTGATCGAGCAAGATTACTGTTTACTGCACCTGGATGTAACGAATTCACAGTGACGTTGTGAATACCGAGTCGGTGGAGACGTCGACTTAAACCGCGAGCATGCATGACCTGAATTCGAAAACTGGTCCTCGCTATTCTGCAGTATATAGGAAACAAGAAAACGACAAGCTTCCGAATGTCGTCTTTTTTGAAAAACTTACATTGGCAAGTTTGCTGCGATTGTATGGATCAAAAAGACCGAACTTCTTTTTGTCGTCGATGGTAGCCAGGTCGAGCGATTTGCTTTTACGATGCAAATTTGACGAGACAATGATGATACGTGCTTTCGGTGCTTTTTCCATTGCAGGTAGGAGCAAATGGGTTAGAAGAAAATGACCTGAAACGTCCTCTCTGCAATTGGGAAGTAGGAACCAGACATTACCTACAGTTCATTCTCTTCCGCAATAAACTAGCACGCTAATGAAGGGTTTTCTGAATTGCTCAGTATATCTTGGTCAATTGTTTCAAGTCTTAAAAATGGCTCGGATAACTGTACAGGTTTCTGGGGAAGCTATCTCTCTTAGTTTTCCTTGACATAGAAGCGACCCCTATTTTGCCGTTGTACCTAAATTCCCTCACTAAATGTGTGTAAAACTCGAGCCCCATTATTTTTGTTGGGGATGATCTTTTGAAGGGCAAAGCCGGAAATCGGTGATCCATCGAGGATAGGCAAACTTCTGGGAAGGGGCATAGAGGTCGCCCTTACCATTAGTCGAACATCAGGTGTCTGGCGCGAGTAGGAACGGTTTTCTGTAATCGATTCGCCGTACGCGGCTGTCGCAAACCATTCCTTCGCCGTTATTACAGCTCTAGTGTTCTTCATACAGCTCAATTGATAGGCGATCCTTATTTTAGGCATGATTCTACTATTAGTTCCTTTGTTCCCCGTATTTCTTACCTGCTGTTGCATTCTGCTATACTTCTTCGCGCGCGGCGTCCCTCTTGCCGCGACGCGACAATTTCGCCTACTGCACCACACCCGCCTGGTGCAGTTGCACATGCTAAGACCTATTTCTTCGCGAGAGTAGATAAGGCTACAGCGAAGATGATAGTGAGCTTGCCAATGCCACTGATAGCAATTGTTAGAAAGATTTCTTTCTATGCTTGAGCTACTTATACAGATTTTACTTCAACAATAAAAAACGCTTCTGTTCATTACTCATCGTCTGTGGGTGAGAAGACCAAGGAACACACATTGATCGACATTTGATCGGCTACACTTTTTATCCTTCCGAATAAAAAAACTGTATTTAGCCAGCGAAAAAGGCCGTGAGATTGCACCCCGACTGATCCAACGCTTCGTCTTGTAAACCTCAGAGTAAGGAATTTCATCACAGTCAAACCCTACTATTTCAGCTGCAGAGTACTGGCAATAGTAGAAAATAGCGCTGCTGGCTAAAAAAATGGGAAACAAAGTTCCAACAACAGCCCCACTTCACATTTGCAGAATTTCCATAGCAACAGTACTGGTTCTTCCAACCCCGAAAAAACCCCAGCTGAACGGCACGTATGGAGAACAGGTTTTCTCCACTGTAATTCTAAGCACAATAATTTCTGAATTCTCTAAGAAATAATTCAGCGACTATAATCTTCTTCGCATGATCTCAAGAGCTTCCAATACCCCCGTCAACAAATGCGATAAGTTGCAAACGCTCATAATAGTTCAAATAATTTTCTAGTACGCTATTTGAGGATTTCTCCACTTCCTTTCTACAGTAAGTAACGAACGAGGACGATCCAGTGGACCATTCTGGCTCGCGACAGGGACAAATGTCGACTTTACTGGTGCCCTAACGAACGAGGACGATCCAGTGGACCATTCTGGCTCGCGACAGGGACAAATGTCGACTTTACTGGTGCCCGCTTGAGGAAATCGACGATCATCGGTATAACAGACGATAATGGTGACAAAGTTGGACGAGGAGAAATGAAGTAGTCTCCGACTCCAATAAATTCCGTTCTGGGCTCCTGCACTCGACTTTGATTTACAATTGAAATGTCATTTTTGTATGCGCATGAGGCCTTCACAATCACTTCCAGTGGCTGATCTATTGAGAAGTCCGTGTCTGTAGTCTTTTAGGTGAGTCTGGCTACAATCAACCCACTCCGGAGAGATGCAGGACTTGATCGGCCTATGAAGGTACTGATCCGGAATTCGATCGGAGAGCCATGCGTGTGCTACACTCTGCCGCTCGCCTCTACACCACCTATGCTCTCCTTTCTATAATAGATCTGAAAAACAACAACCTGCCAGATGTATAAACACATAGTCTACAAGTCATGACATCATTTTCTGCACCGCTATCAGAGATCAGGCCGCTCTGCGCCTGCATGACGTTGGTTGAGCGCTCGACAATCTTGCAATCCGATCACACGCTCCACAATCATATCAGCAGAACGCCGGTCACAAGCTATATATTTATAATCTTCTTCCGTTCCTGTCCTTTTGTCACACAGTCGAATAAGTCATGGGACGAATGTATTTGTGATGGATATTTCAGTTTATGTTATCTTATTTCGTTTCTTGCGTGCCAAGACTTCGATGTGGCACCTTCAGGACTTCAGATCTGATCGTATTCTGACAAATTTATCCATGAGTAGTGTTGTCATGAAAAACCCACAATTTAATTTAGGATTAATTTAGGATCAACAATGTTACAGGATCTATTCCACATTTCCTCCTGATATATGTATACAATGTCGAATATATTCTAGAAACATTAAGAACAGACGTCGAATTTTAGAAATGTTTTAAGGGGGGAGGGGGGATCGTTTTAAGTGTCCATGCTAATAAGTTCGATTCAAATGAATTTAGGTATTTTGAGACCGCAAAACTTCTAAAAACGTTACGTGGTAGCAAAGTTCACAGCTTTTCCTAAGCATATTAC